GGAGCGGCAAGGAGCAGCCTGGGGCCTCAGGGGCGGGCAGTTCCTGCGGGTGGCTGGAGGGAGTCTTAGGCAGCACCAGGAGATGGGGGTGGGTGGGCAGCATGTGCTCACTCTGGAAAGAGGGGAGCACATGGAAGAGGCCGTGGGAGAGGCCAGGTGAGGAAGGACCAGGAAAAGCATGGCCAAGCAGAGAGAACTGAGTTCTATACCGATAGCCACACCAGAGCAGCAGGACCGACTGAGCTCCTCACCATACAGCCGGGGATGGGGGCTGGTCCCCAAGACTGAGCTAACCTACAGGACCCTTTTTTGAGAGGTCAAGAGATTCAGGGACAGAGAGCCAAGTGTGTCATTCAATTGTCTGCATCAGACAAGACGGCCTGGATTTTGATTTCTTCTCCCTCATAGTCACATGGCCATGAAGTCCTTGCTCCTCCCCAAAGTCTTGGTCTCTACTTCTGTCTGTCTGTCTGTCTGTCTCCCTCCCTTCTCTCCCCAAGGCCCCTTCCCTTGTCTTGTCCATCCCTCTTTAACTCTTTGCCTTGTTTCTTCTGACTCTGCTCCACAGGGCCACCGTGTGAGTACATCTGTGTCAGCGGGGTGGGGTGAGCGCCCTCAGGAGCATGTGGAGGGGAGCAGGGAGGTGGGGGAGGAGGTCATCTCTCCTCCTCACTCCCTCCCTGGCCAGCTGCAAATGCACCATGTGACCATCCAATCTAATTAGCTGAAAACTCAGTCTTGACAGAAGGAGGCTTTAAAAAAATCTCTAGCTTTCCTGGCTCTCAGCCTCTTGAAAGAGAATGGAGGAGATCCGATTGCAGGGAAGTGGAGTCCCAGCTCCCAGTTCCTGCTGCCAGGGGCAATCAACGGTGAGCGGAAACCTCCATCTTGAAAACGCCAAGCAGCGTGAGAAAGCCCGACTTGCAAGTGCAGCGTCTCAGGGCTCCAACCCGAGGAAACCTCCGTGGCAGCTGCCCAGAGTCCCTGCCAAGCAGATCAGGAGAGCGGTGGTGAGAGAGGGCTGCCCTCCTCACACCTGCCAGTGGGTGCCCCGCCAGCCTCCCCGGGGTCTCCCGGCGCAGCCCCGGGTTGGCTCTACTGCACGCCTTGCAGAAACGCCCGCCCTTCTGGGACCGCACCCCGACCTGCCTTCTCCGACTCCTGGCCACGCAGTCCCCATCATGGACACCAGGCTCCCCTCCCACCCATCTGCCTTGACCCTGCCACTGGGCAGCATCCTGGCCCCTGGCTGTGCTGAAAGGACACATCAGAGGGACACCAGGGGCAGGGAGAGCAAAGGTCGAGCCGCTAGGACAACCTCAGGGGTTCTTGGGGTGGCACAGGACACAGAGTTCCCCCAAGCCCTGCAAGCTCACCCTGAAAAGTCTGTGGGAGGAGACCAACCACCTAGGACGCCGCGGCCATGCCAGCCTGCTTCCCCTGACCACTGAGATTCTGATTCTCTCACAGTCAAAACGCTCAACTACAAAACCCACTCAGGAAGGGGCGCTAGCCAAGCTCATCTCCTGCAGCCACTGTCCTGTCCTCGCCGGCTCAGGGACGCTTGTCCTGCTCCAGCTCTGGAAGTAGCAGGAGGGTCAGGAGTGCAGCACACCCAGAGCCCAAGGCTGGACGAGTGCCACTCAGGTCAATGGGGCCTAATGGGAGGCGGCAGGCAGGTAGGAAGGCAAATGGGATGCCCTGGGCAGACGGCTAGGCCTGGGTGGGCAGAGGGCAGCGGTCCCAACTCCAGACGGAGCTCTGCCTTTTCCCAGGGAGCTCCAGCCAGGGTGGAAAGACACCTAGGGACACATGATGTTACCAGCAATCACCACCCAAGCCAAAGTCAGAGCCTTGTCCATGTCACCCAAACAACTGAGCATTCAGACTTTATACACAGAGGACCCCCCTACCCAACACACACACGCGCGCATGCATACCCGGGCTTGATTGTCCGGCCTTTACTTTCCCAGGTGGCTATTTTCTCTTCACCCTTAAGAGTTGTGAGCATTTCACTAGTGGTCACGTAACCATAGATAAATGCGCTCATGGCCAAATAGTTAAGCCTCCCATGGGTGGGGCTGATTGTCCCAAAACCACAGCATAATTTTCAAACCAAATTGTGCTTTTTCTATTGGAAATTTTCCCCCCATCAATGACTGATGATCACATGCAAATGCCTGATGAAAAACATGTAATGCACGTTTCACCGAAGTCCAAAATATTTACTGGAAGTTGTTTCAGGAAAAAAAAAGAAAGAAGGAAGGAAAGGAAGGAAAGGAAGGAAAGGAAGGAAAGAACGAAGGAAGGAACGAAGGAACGAAGGAAGGATGGAAGGAAGGAAGAAGGAAGGAAGGAATTCCTTTGGCAAAAAATTATGTACAGAGAAAAATTATAGAATGTAAGATGCTACGGTCAAATGATAAAGTAATAACCAAGCTTGTATCAAGTGAATTTCTTTGATCCCATTGACAATATTAAAGAATAAAGAACTTTCAAGTAAAGAAATCTGATTTTTTTTTTTAAATTTCCAAAGCTGGATCTTAGGAGTTTGCTAATCTTTGATAGTTTCTGCTTTATTTCCAAGGGGGCTTATGTGCCCATCTCCCACCCAATGCCACCAAGAGCTGACCTTTGAAAATTAGCTGGACATTTGCCGTGCTCTCCCATCAGGCCAGCATTGCCAAGGACACAGAGCGCCAACTTCAGGTGAGGCAGACGCTCACCTGCCCTCCGGCTAAAAATAGCCGTCGGTGATGTCAGGAATGGCAACTGGTCTCTGCCTGCACAACAGTCCCCCAGGCCTCTCGGTGAAAGAAGCAGGTGGATCTCACCCCAAAGGACAGCCTCCGTTCCGCCAACACGAGGTGCTCAAAGCTTTTGCAAGTGTCAGTGGCTGAGATGGTTAAAAAGAGATCTGTGAGCACCCCAATTCACAGCGTAAGCTGCACGCTCATTTTTGCACAACCCAACAGCAGTACGGTTTGGGAAGAGGACCTGGAGACACTGGGCTCAAGAACATTCCACAGGCCTGAGCCTCAGCCTCCTCTCTCCTTTCATCTTTGCCGGTGCCTTGGAACTTATTTTCAGTGACGCTGCGACCAGTGACCTATTTGAATTCCAGATATCCACTGAGTAGAGGCCAAGAGTTCTACCAGGTGTCGCTTGAAGGGCATCAGTGCAACTGACGCTAAAACAATTCTTCTTCTTGCTGAAAAACTGTCACAAGTGATTTTCACTGCTTGAAGCAGTTTTACTATATTGTAATTATCACATTGTCTTGTAGTTATTTGCTGTGCAAATGTATCTCTCTTCCTCTCCACCACCCTCCTCCACCTCCAGATGTGAGGTCCTGCAAGCGGCCTCAGTGCATAAAGAAACTCAACACCTTGGGTTGAAATGAGCGAATTTGAATTGAAGCTAACTTCTTCTTTCTTGGATCCCATTATGACCCCCGAAACTCATATTTATGTGGTTATTCAACAAGGCCTCATGCATCTTGAACATCCCTTTTAGACTCCTATAACTGACCACACTAGACCAATGCAGTGTGAGAAATAAGCAGTCATGGTCAGGTGTTTATGAAGTTGGCCCCTTACATGTCTTCCTCCAAAAAAGGGAATTAATAACCCCCATGATGAGACTCTCTGTCTACGGCAAATCTCCCATTAGAATTGGGTGAGTGTGTGGTGTGCTTCGCTGAATGGCTGACACATAGGAATGGTCTTTGAACAGGAGCTCTCTGTCCCCATGTTCTGGTTAGTGCCTCTCGTCATAATAAAGCTTGTAGGGGCAACAGTTTGGGTAATGCCTTTCTACCCACTGACATTTTGGGGCAGTGGCACATAGTAACAATCACCCAGACACCTGGCCACAGTCTTTTTCCTGAAACCAATGAATGATTGGCCTGTTTTGTTTCATTCTACTTGGCTCTCTCACCCCCTACCCCAAACTATGGTTGTTTGATTAAAGCCAAACCAGGAACTGAAATATGCCTGGGAGACCCCAGGCATGCAAAAGAAACCAGGCAACAATAAGGTGAAGAAAAATGGTTCTGGCCTTCTTCAAAGTTTACCAACATTTTCATCAAGAAACAATAAAAGACCTTCCTTCACTCATCAACATAAATGGAATCCTAACCTTGAGACATGTGAAAAAAGCTGGAATAGGAAAGAAATGACAAATGTAACAACGGCAGCACAGAGCCTGCTAAGAGTAAGGACGTGTTCACCTGAAGAACGGTGCCGGCAATGACGGAGAGCCTTCCCGACATGCACAGCAGGTGCCCACACCACCCCCCACCCCACTCCCCACCCCCAGTGCAGAAGGGTAAAAATAGCCAACTAACTGTTTGCTCATTAAGTCAGCCTTCCATCACGATTTAAGTCTCTGAGGATCCCTGACAAAGCAATTCCCCAGCAACAGAAGCAGATATTGTGATCTTTGCTGAGCAATTGCATGAGAACCAGGGTCCCAAAGCTCATCATTCTAGGGAAAAAGAAACTTGTAAATAGAGGACCAGGTCCGACCCCTTGGTGACCCCACTCAAATGCAAATCCCCAGTGTGATGCAGGGCACAGCCAGGAGTGACCTCACCCAGTACAAAGGATGACACAAGGGATTAACAGGCTGCCACAATAATACTCCCAGCAACGTGGAGACGTGCTAGAATCAAATCCCAGGAGTTGGTTCAGTCAGGTAGGTGAAATCTTAAAATGCTTACCAGGGTAGTGAAGGAAGATCACTGATCATTGTCTAACTGCTAGTTGTTTTTCTGTTTTAATTTTAGAAGCAAACTCCTCAAATCTATAATGCAATCAAAACCAACTGAGGCAATTCTGACCCACAGACATTGACACTTTAAGGAATTGCCACCATGTTCTGAGATTGTCCCACAGGCCTTGGAAGGAGGCGCATCCATCCATCCAGACCAAGCTGTTGATGGGCTTCCAGACCCCTCCGAAGGTCACAGTCAAAGAAAGAAACACAAATGTACTTACGCAGGGCATGCCACTCATCCTGACGGATGGTCTTTGTGATGTTGAAAGTGAGGTTCCTCGGGATGGTGGCTGAGGAGTAGTGGTATTTGATGTACGTGCACCGCTCAATTTCTCCTGGCAAAGACAAACAGGAAACCAAAAGTTAGTGAAGCAGCGATCATTTGGGGGGCAGTTTCCCGGATCCACTTTTCTGTCCTGGGGAAAGGGACTAGATTTATATTGAGCCTGTTGATGCTTACAGTTTATCCAAGGCAGTAATTTTGACTCTAAAAGAGCAGGAGAGACAAACTAAAATCAAACACCATCAATTTAGGTAGAAAAACACATCTCTGGCATCATTCAGAGGTGGGGATGGCTGCAGTTCAGGCTGATAGCTTGCAAAGAAGGCAGTATCCATGTGCATTTAATCTTAAGAAAATGAAGTCAAGGCAAGTCAGGCCAAGGCAAGGCAAGTCATTTCAAGTCAAGGCATCAGAAGGCATTAGCAGTTTGCACCCCCAGACCAACAGAGAGCAGGCTTCGACCTTCATGACATCATTTGTGCTCGTAACACACACGGTCTTATGGAATGCCAAGCTAGACGGGGCGTCTCCCCCTTTCTCTGTCACATCCCTCCAACCTCACCTCTGAACACAAAGCACTCGGGTCGATCTGTACCTCCTTGAATCAGTCTCTTCCCAGATTTCTTGGACAAAATTAAAGCCCCTTAACACACAACACCTGGTCCAATGGAGCCTTTACTGATAAGTTCCATGCATGCTTTGCTGGTCAGGTTATCAAAATATTCCTAGCTCTTACAGCAGAGTTTCTCAAAGTGTGGTTCTGGGACCCCAGCATCAGCATCCTCTGGGAACTGACTAGAAGTGCAATTTTCTAGGCCTGACCCAGACCTACTGAATCAGAAACACTGAGGTCAAGACCGCAATCTCAAGTTTAATAAGCCCTCCTGGTGATTCTGTGGCACATTTAAGTTTGAGAATCTCTGCCTTCGAGAAGCTAATGGAATTGGCAATGTATTAATTCATAAATCCACCCTGTTTGCAAATTCCCACAGGAAGGCGTGATTAGTTCTTCCCTTGACACTTTTAGTCCCTGCAGGCATGTCTATCGACAATTGCTTATCTGAGGGATATTAAAACTCAATGTCAGGGCATCAGGAAGAGCCAGGAAAAGAGTGATTTTTAAAGGTTAGGGGGTTTAAAATTTGGTTTTGCACCTGAATGGATTTTGATGGTAATCCATTTTGCACCCCACTGATTTTCAATTTATAAGTGGTGACACCTGATTGAATTGTTTGACCCCCCCCCACCCCGGCTCACTGTCAGCAGGGAGCCTGGCGATTGGTGGAGGGCAATAATTTAGACATGAAACCAATCCCTTATTGTAAATCATACCTGGACAACAGCCCAACCGCCTGTTTTTGGCAGACGCTCCTCCAACGGGGCAGATGCTGTCCACAGAAGCAAAGTTGGGGGAAAATGTTCTGCCCTCTTTACCTTTTGTCTTCAGTTTTTAAAATCCTCTGCCTCTGTCCCCTCAGCCTGCAAGCGTGCTGAAGTCTCTCACATGCCCCTGACCACCTCCTACCCTGCCTTCCTTCTCCCCTAACTTTCTATATTTCTGGGGAAAAGTAATCTACCAGACAGGTCTCCACTTCCTCAATTCACGTTCGGGCTTCAGACCCACATGCTCCATTCCCATGACTAGCATGACCTCCCATCCAGTCTCCAACATCTGGAATCCCACCGGCGTCCCAAGGCCTCCCTCTCTCGAGGGGCGCCCCTCCTCCCTGACACCCAACTCGTCACCAAATTCTGTCGGTTCTACCTCAGAAATGTCCCTGCTCCTCTCTGCACTATGAATACAAGGACGGACATCAACGAACAACGGTGTTACTGAGGACTCACTAGGTGGGGGAACCTGAGGAGGTGCTGTGTAGACCGGTGGCTTCCACCTTGACCCGAGTCACGGCCGCACAGAGAAGAAGCATGTGAGGCACGTGGGATACACAGGCGCCGCTGCCCGGGCCCTACCCAGCCTCCCTATCCCTGGCACCAGCGTCCACACCTGAAACCCATGCATGTCCCGTACTTACCCCACCAGCAAGAACTCTGTTACGAATACTCTCTTACCTAGTCCTTCATACAACCCAACCAAATAGGCATTATGATGATCATCACCCTGATTTTACAAATGAGAAAATGGAAGTTCAAGAAGATTCAGTGACTTGCCCAAGGAAGTAGCAGCTCTGGGAGTAGGACCCAGAATTGTCTGGCCGGAGTGTCCCTCCACCCGGCCACACTCCACACGGCTGCCTGGGGTGTATTCCATAAAGGACAGCACGGTCTTCTCCACACTCAGGGTACCCCAAGCTCCTCAGAAACTCCCAGCCCCCACCTTAGCATCACATACCTTGGGCTCCAGCCAGGGGGCTCTTCCTACCTTGCCCTACCTGCTCAGGACTCTGCGTCTGCTCTGCTCCCTGCCCTTCCTTGTGTGATCCACGTCTTCCTGTCCTAAGAGGAGGCCCCCGGGGCAGCTCCTCAGCAGGGCCTTCCCTGCGCCCACAGCCGTGGGCAGTAGGCATCCCGGGGCCCCTCCCCTGCCTCCCCATGCTCCCCTGCTGCAGCAAGCACACCAAAGGGCTGTGATTTATCTGTTTACACGCCTCACTCCCCCGCTAGATTATGAGTTTCTCAAGGGCAGGGACCTGTCTCATCCATTCGTCTTTATCTCCCCAGTTCCCAGCACAGGGTGAGCACCAATAACGTGTGCTTTAAAGAAAAAAATGGCTGTTATGAGGCATCCTCCAAAAGACCACAGTGGGCAAGGGATCCAACTTCCTCTATCACATGTAAGGGATTGAATTAATTGAGGCAAATTCGAGTGTAATAAATAAAGGGAGGTGACTGTGGCAGAACTCTGGGATTCCCCAGCAAACACCCCTTCCTTGGGTAGACAGCGTAAGGAGAGGCTTATCAGTCACAGTGAGGCAGAGGAAACAGCAGATGCACAGAAGACCTCTTCCTGCACCTTGTAAATATGACCCAAGGGTTAAATAGTGAGGTTTAAAAAGAAAAAAGGAAAAAAAGAAATAGGAAAGATAAAAAAGGTTAGAGGATATTAACAAAAATACCATCAGCAACCACCCTGGCCATGTACCGCTGAACAGGTAGGGCCCTGCGCAAGGACACCTCCACAGAAACCGGGGGGCTGAAATCCAGCCGCCGCTCCACTGGCCACACCGTGTCCCTGCTGAGGTACGGGGTCATGCCCTGCCAGAGGGGCTGCCTTAGTCTAATTTGTACAAAAGTTTCATACAAACTAGCAGCTGCCCCACACTCAATTTCAAGATCAAACACAACACCTCTGGGCCTAAGCTTCAGAGACCCAAACAAAATCCCATTGGTCACGGCAGATGAGTGCCCACCTCTAATGTCTGAGAAAGGTACTTGTTCTTTTGGTTTTTTTTTTTTTTTTTTGGTGTTTGGTTTTTTTGGAGGGGGGTTTGTTTTGTTTTGTTTTGTTTTTGCTAAGTTCAAGTGCTCTCTATGTCAAAACAAACTCGACAAATGGCCACAGGTTCCAGGTGGGCTCCCTGAGCCTCAGTTCCCCCAGCACATGCAGCAAGAGCAAGTCGCTGCCGACAGGCTCCTCGGTGGCCGGCCAGGGAGCCTGGCTGGACCCCTACCACCACGCAGCCCCATTGGAGGCCTCACTATTTGCTTTGCCTCCGGGAGGCAAGCATCCTGGCTTGACAGCAATTAAATTTGAAAGACTCAAATATTGCCTGAGAAGAAAGGCAAAATGTTTCTCCATGTGTCTGCGGGTCCTGTCAGTGTGCTGGGCTTTTGTAAACACAAGCACCATCTGGGCACTAAATTTGTGTGCCCGGAATGTGGGCTCCCCAACACAAGCAGGTTTTCCTGCTACGCACGGTGCAGAAGGGCCACCTGGAAGGCAGTGGCAAAGCCCGTGGTCTTACCTGGGAAGACCAAACCGGTCTTCCAGGCTCCTGGGTGCCAGCCCCGGGACTGAGCTTCGCTCTCAGGAGGCCTTGGCTAGGAAGGTGGGAAGGTGGGGTGGGGGGCACGGGCTGAGGGGTCCTTTGCACCTTCAGCCATGCCCTTGCCTTCTCAGCTGGCGACCCTCCTGCCTGTCAGGGTCCCAGGATACCCAGTGGGTAACTGAGGAGAGCTTCAGAAAGGGACGACTTGCAAAGCTGAGCACAGGGTGCAGAGAGACCAGCAGAGGGTGGTACAGGGGCCTGGTGCCAGCAACAGGAGTCCGAACAACCAAGGCGCAGAGAAGGGAGCTGTCCCCTGCACCTGGAGAGGATGGTCCTCGGGAAAGGGGATGCAGCCTGGGGCGCAGGCTCACAGCCACTCTGTGGCAAGATGGCAGGGTACAAACACCCACCCTCTTACTCCTCTGCCCTTCATCTCCGGCCTGTTCCCCCCAGTAGCCAAACCCAACTGGAAACCAGAGAGGAGCCCAGCCTCCAGGGGCAGACAGGAGGCCAAGGCAGGACCTGGGTCAGAGGGACGGCCACAGACATCCTGCCCACGGCCCTCTGAGGCCGGGCGAACAAGAGTACAGGTGCACCCCGGACAGACAGTGGCGTGGAGACCAGGAAGGGAGCAGCGGGGATGGGCACAGACACTGAAGCCTGGACCTGACTACACCTGAGGATGACAGCAGCAGGCGGTTTTCCTTCACGTGCACCCAGGATCAGCGAGATGTGGCGTCCTGAGTACTGAAGGGAGGAGTCAGTTACTCCCGGGTTGGGAGGTGAGAGCCGGAGGTAAGAGCTGTAGTGCTCTTAGGCAAAGTGACTAGAGGCAGCGCGGGGACCCACGCCCTCTCCATCAAAACTCATCTTCCCTAACAGATGCCTAGTACTTTAGATGCTTCCATTAGAGAGTCATCCCTTTGGGGCAGGTATTTCTCTTAGGCACCCATGTTTAAAGCTCTCTGAAATAAGTCTGAAGGGGGGGGCATGAGTCACTAAGACATGGGGGTAAATGAGCTTCCAAAATCCCCTTCCTCCAGACCAAATGGACCCTGGGCAGCAGAGAGGCCCCTTGGGAAGGGAGATGCTGAGAAAGGCGTGA